GGTGCTCATTTTTAAATGTAGTCATGGGAATTTTTAAAGACAATGGCCACAGATTTATATACACAGAAATGTCAAGGGCCACGAAAAAAAAAAATGAATCGGATTACCATTTTGATGCCCACTGAGATGGTCTGCCACCTCTTAGGGACTGTGCTGCTTTTCAAAATACAGATGAGACAAAGTGTACAGAAAGTGCTTTTGATACAGAGCATTGCTTGGGTTCTTCTGGCCAAATTACCTAGCACTAGGAAGCAGCAGGGAATCAAATGGGAATTGTGCAAAAATAACTTACTCTGCCTTCTCAGCTTCTGCTTTTCTTTCTCTTTCAGCTTCTTTTGCAATTTCAGATATCTGCAAGAAGTGTTTTAACTGTCAAAATGGATCCATTAAAATAAAATTTCTAAGAAACAAATACAACAATTACCACACTATCTTTTTTTATACCACTTTGCACTTTTAAAGTGTTAGATTTTTAAAAATAGACAGCTCAGACTGGATTTTAACAGTGAAAATGCAGAAATTCTTTTGACAGCATTTTTCAGTAGAGTGTTATCAATACTGTAACTAGGCCAGTTGACTGAATAACTTGAAGTAATTATACGTGGTTATCAGACTGATTATGCGACCAGTTGAGGATGAAGGTAACTACATCCAGATCACACCCTAATACAGAAGTCACTCACAAAGACTCAATGCAGTTACTGATTATGTGGAAAATAAGCATCAGTTTGCCTCATTCCAAATATGAACCAAGGAATAATATATCAATGACAGCATGAAAAATCAGAAAAAGATCTGTGTAATTATCAGATATTACAAAACCTAATTACTTTGTCAAGATCAACTGATGCATTTGAAAACAGATAAATATTTAAACAACTTTTACTTACGTGATTTAAACAACTTTTACTTACTTTTCTTCAAACTATTTATCTTAGGTGGGTTGATGGTTCATTAAACCTTTACTGGCTCACCTCATAACAATCTAAGCATGCGTTTACAACATTCGCTTAAGGAAAAACTAACGTACAATTTTACAGATGGCTAAATGCAGCAAAGAAGCTGGGGCCTTGGTTTCAAACACCTTTAGGCTCAGTGTTGCAATACGAAAGTAAACTCATTTCAAATGCAGTTTGAGTATCTAAGCTTCACTGGAAATCAGAGATGCAGGCTACGAAGTCCTAGATTCACAAAGGAATCTAAAGTGCCTAAAATATGCTACCATTCACTTTTGCAAAATCCTGTCTTAACTCTTTATCCTCTTCTGTATTCTGTATTCAAAGTGCTTAGACACCGGTTGTCTGTTGGTGTATTCCGCATTTTTGGTTAATACATAAATACAGTTATCTAAACGTTCCCCCTGTTACTCACTTGGATGCCTATCTCTCACACATAAGTAGTGAAAGAATTTACTAAATCGATCTTGCCTTGTTTATCTCACCTCTTATCTGTGGAACCTCATCTAGTACACATGATGGAAGCGTGTAACTCTTCCACAAAGAGTTTCCCCTAAGATCTCAAGCTCGTGAAGGGTAATTCAGAGATCATTTGATGATGCCTAGTTCTTCTAAGGGGTAGGGTGGGGAAGAATGAATAAATCCGTAACCCTCCTCTTCATCCTTCAGTCATAAGTTCTCTCAGTTGTCTCCTTTCCAGGCTGAAGAGCCTAACCTACTTAATTCCGTACACAAGATTTGTTCCATACAAAATTTTGGTAACTTTTTGACCTTCACTGAATCTTTCTCAGTTCTATCACATTCTTTTTGAAATGAGGGAACCTGGTCTTCAGGTCACAGATACACTTGGTGTTCATGAAGCATTCTGAGGTTTTCCGCTCTCTGTTCCTTTCTCAACAATTCAAAATTTCAGTTTGTTTTTCTGATCTGTGTTGATTGACGTTTTCATTGAACTGACACTTCTGTACAACTCTATTATATTCCCAAGGTTTCATACCCAAGCAGTAACCATCAGCTCAAAATCCAACATTTTACATGCAAAATTACAACTTTTCCTTCCACATACATCACTTCACTGATTTTCATCTGCTATTCTAAGGCAACTTTGCAATTAGCTCTTGATTTTACTGCTACAAATAATTTAGATTTATCAGCAAACTCTGTTAGCTCACTACTCACTTCTTTTCTTGTGAACCTGCATGGCTCCCAGCACAGATTTCTGTGGAACTTCACAGTAAAACCCAAGTCCTAACAATCTTCATCACATACAATTCCATAGGTTATTTTACAGTTTCTCTGACTATATGGTAATGTCATTGACCTTATCACTACACAATTGCTTTTCCAGTATATAGAGGTGAGTTTCTGTCCATTTGCATAAGCTTTATCGTTGTAAATGCTTAAGAAAGACAGTGACTTCCTGAAGGGAATTTTTGATTACTACATTGCTGTTTCTTCTTTGAGCTCTACTGAATAGGTATATTCAGTGCTCCAACTGGATTACTTGAGCCATTCATAATGTGAATAACAATTTATTTAATATGGAATTAGTGTAAGCATTATTTTGGTAAATTTCACTGTATAACATATTAAAGGTCAAAGCTGGATAAATTGCATTATTGACCATTTTTATCAATACTTACAAATAAATCTGAGAAATGTATAAAATATGAAAAACATGTAAATCAAAGTAAAGCAAAGAAAATATTTACTCAGGTCTGAAGTAAAATATTTACTTCAACTATTGTTGAAGAAAGTTCTAAAATATTTACTCAGACCTGCTAAGATCCTTAAGTAAAAATAGTATTTTTAAATACCAACCACATTACATTTGTGCTAAATGAGACAAGATATTAAAAGACTGTAATTTTTAAGTACACACATAAACATGAATTAATAAATAAATAAGAAAAATAAATGGAAAAATATGGTTTGATGGAGGCAATAAACAAATCTTGGAGAAAAACATACAAATGAATAGGAAATAATGAACTAAGAAGTTGTACAATTGAGGTTTATCTTGAAAATATGTGGAAAGCATACCATGAAGAGGTGGATTAATGATTAGAGGAAAGATATATTTGAATAACAAGTAGCAACAAATCTGAAGGCCAGAGTGAAACACAATGCCCTGCAAATATTACAAATGTGTTTGGATTTTTAAATTTAGTTCAATCCATTTTTAAACAGAACAATAAATTATATTTCGCTCAGCTGAGTGAAACAAAATATATTCTTCATAAAATGGAATTAAAGAATGATTATCCGATAATCATTAAAGTAACAATAAATTCAGGCAAAATTATTTCAAATAACAGGGAAAAAGGATATTTTATTGTGTGTGATCAGTAAAGCATGTAGAAGACAGACAATAATGATATGGCATTACTATGGAGAAAGTAGACTGCAAAAGTAATACACTGTGAAAAAAATGGGGTATGCAGCATAAACAAGACTGTAAACCATTTAAAGCAAAAACTGTGCCTAGAAAGCTGCTAGCATTTTTTGTTTTGAATAAAGTCCAAATGAACAATAACAACAATTTACTGCAGTGAAATCTAAACACACTGGACTGAATTGTTCTGCCACACAAACTCTCCTATTTGTTTTAAAAGAGTACAGATTATAAAGTATGTTCTCATTGAGAACACTGATTAATCAGTTAACTAGCAAATAATGCCGTTACTAATAGAAAATTCAGTAATATATTTGTATTGTTATCATTTTGTGCACAGAAATACAGAATCTCTTTAACATACCTGTAACCCTTTCTTCTTACGAACTGTGTTTTCCAAAGACGACTGGATATCAGTACCAAGGATTTCTGCAATATCTCCTAGTCCAGCATCATGACCGTGTTTTGAGCCTTCTTTCTTTGTATGAATGCCAAAAATGTCCGAGAAGATGTCAGTTTCTCCCTTTTCACCCTTCACAAACTGCACAAGTTCAGCTCCGACACCATGCTCAGTGCCTTCAGCTTTTTCTGCTTCCATAACATCATCATGGATTCCAAACTGTGTTGGGTCAGGCATGTCCCCTAATAGTTTAGTAACTTTAATGTTTTTGGCTCCTTCAACCAGGCCACCCCCAAACACAGTGTTCCAAAGAATCTGGAAAATTCCCCACACTATAGTAAAGAACAGTTGGAATATCCCTATAAATAGGATCCAGAAAAAGGAGAAAAACACTTTCACCATCTCTTTTACTGTCATCTTTTTAACTTTCCTGTATTGTTTCCTTAGGTTCTTCATAGTGACCATTTTAAAAAAGTTGGCAACATTCTTCTTCACTGCAACACAGGCCATTGCAAAAGCTGAAGCAGATTCCAGGGACTTTTCCTCTTCCTCATCATCTTCAATATCCACTACATAAGAAGGCTCTGCCTCTTCCTCTTCCTCAGGCCTCTCAGATGAATCCGTTTCAGAGATCTGGGATGCTAACTGCATTTCAAAGATTGTGTCTTCACAGAAATTGACAAAGAGTTCCATTTTTTCTTGCTCTCCACCTTCATTTACAACATCGAATATGAACTGCCTTTTGGATTCCTTCACCTGTGGCTTCTCCCACTGCATTCGACTGGATTCACTGATTTCAAAGTAAACTCTTTCTATTTTCTTGGCTCCACCCATTATTTCAATACGGCCAAGGTATGGTTCAAAGTAATTAAGAACACTCTCCGCAGGTTCAAGTAAGCTCTGAAGGCGTGAATCATGAGGCATGTGCTCTGAAAGGTTTGTTAGCAATACTGCTACGTTAAATCCAATGTCTTTGGCTGGTTCATGGAATCTTTCCACAAAATCAACGTAGTTAAACATATTGTATTGTTTTTGAGCCTCCATTGATTTCTGAAACTCCTTCTTTGAAATGATGCCTTTACTATCTGGGTCATGCTCTTTGAAAGCATCTGAGTTAGTCAGATCTTTTAACTTGAGGAACATGTCAAAGAACTTCAAAATCATTTCTACATTGCTAGATGATTCGACAAGTGTGTCTACCATTTGTTTTCCAATAGTTCCATTTACAACGTTACCTAAGTAGTGTGTTAAAACAGGAAGTTATTTGACATCACTACATTTTAAGTAAATAAATTTCATATTCATGCTGAGAACAGAACAAAACTGTTCTTAAATCTTTGTAATTTTTCTTTCAACATGTTTTTCTGTAGCAGCCCTCTTTTTCATGACTATGTATATTCCACAATAATTGTTAAATAAATATCAGATAGGTTTTTTCCTGGAATTACATAAAGGCAATTAAAAACCAGTTTATATAAGGTGAACCTAATTATCATACTTTACATTATAAAGCTAAGATAATCATATTTGACCGTAAAGAAAAAACAGGTCCTACCTTCAAGCAGTGACAAGAGCATCACTACCATATCCTTTAGCAGATCTAGCAGTTCTTTAAGCAATTCAATCTGAGCAGAGTCCTGTAAAAAAAGACGGAGTATAAGGTTGTTTTTCCTTTGTATTTATATGGAAAACTAAATACATTTGGAAAAAAACAGTACATAGGATGGTCATCTAAATGTAGCTCACATTCTTCAGCAACATTTCACTGTCATTTTATTATGGTTACCATCATAAGTCTTATACAATATGAAGGTAACTTACTACAGCAGAGGTATTAATACCATAAAGATAAGCTTTAATAAAGCATTAAAGAGTACCGAAGTGCAGGTAAGGGTCAGCAGAAACTCACAAAATCGGTTATTCCACAGATCTGTCAGTATTCATCTCAGAAAGAATCCATCCTTTCTCACTTCACAGGGAATATTTAATGGCATAATGCATTACCAGTCAAACAGAACTAGAACTGTTTAACTACAGAACACTAGCAGTCTAACACGGATTTATGACTAAGGACCTAAAAACTGTTAAGTATCCTCAAAATGCCCATTACTTCTGTAGGGTGGGAAGAAGTCTTATGAATAAGTCCGAGGGTAGCAGAGACACTGAATAAAACCGAGGAATTAACTCTCGGCACTGCTGCACTCAGTGCCTAGTGGCTCGGGTGTTACGGGTACATTAAGCAGAAGTCACAAAAGAACACAGAAGCCTGAAACTGTGAAGAGGATTGGGACTTGACAACGCCCCTGCACAGTGAAATCAACACTGCCTGTTTTCCTCCTGCTCAGTGCCTGCGATGAATTAACTGGACAAGTTGACTGCCTGTCACATTCCTCCCCCTCTTTGAACCTTTCCCAGCTTTTCTCTTGCCCTACTTAGCTGTAGCATAGGAACCATATTTTTAATGGCACTTCTGCTCTGACAGATCATCAGGTTTTGACAACAGGGAGCAACGGACCAAACTGTCACCTTCATTATCAAAAAGGTATAATTGAGTTGGAAGCAGTGGGTTTAATACTAGAAAAGGCGGGGTGCACAGTGATGATTAATGCTAAAGGAGTGATATGAAGATGTTAGTCTTGTGATTCAGTCTTGGACCTCTACATTACAACAGGCCCATGTACAATCAATTAGTATTAGCACATTTACAGCTTTCAGTATTCACTTGGTGGTAGTTTATAAACATATTCAAAGAAGGATTACTTGACTACTGAAAATACCTGTGAAAGTTTCATCTGCATATTGGCAAAAACATGAAGAAAGCCAACAACTGCATCCCACAGCCTGCTATGAGCCAGACTCTGTTGATTACCTATGCAAGGGCCCTAAAAAAAAAAGTAAGAAAACCACATTTTTTATTTCTACAACATAAAACAAATAATTTGCTTTCCTAAGATTTCTCCCTGAAAAAAATTAAAAAAGAAACTTCAGGCTTCCACGAAGCTACATGAGAAATCTTCCCAAGGTCTCTTTCGTATCTAGTGCATAAATACTAGATTGTATCATATTAAATATGCAGCCATTCACATGTTTTAGTATTAACTTTACACTGGGCCAGTGATTCCACGTAACTTTATCAAAATTAAGAAAAATAAAGCCAAAGTATTTACAAATTTGTAACAGGCCTTGATCAGGCCCTGTAATCATAGACCTTCACTGTTAGTACCTTGAGCAAAACATTTTGTTTACCTGTATATATTCTGTAAGGGAATTGAATATTTGTTTGGTGACAGCCAGAGCTTTAGAAAAGTTACGTTGTCCTGATTCATCAATGACATCCTTTCCTGAATAGTACCAATAGAAGTCACTGATTGATTCCTAAGAAAAAAAACCAACATTATACTTTCTAATTTGGGATTCTGTATGCAGTATTTACTGCCTGCATTTGTATCACCAAAAATTAGCCACAGATGGGATTTAGTATTTCTGTGTCTATTTTCATGACAATGTTTTTGCATTTTTATCTAACTATGCTCCCTGCAGAAGTGAAAAATGAAATAAATTAACAAACATTTGGTTTCACACAGAATTCTGAAAGGTCATCTATTTTAAAAGGAAAGAAGAGATGAAATAAATTAGATCAGAATTCTTTACTTCAGACACCCCTGAAGAGAGGATATTCATATTTGATTCCAGTAAAATGTGAATTTCTAAAAATGAAGAAAAGGTAAATATGTTATATTCCATTTTCCCCTGTTTTTTCCTCACCTGAAGACGCAAGAGATAGTCAACTGTACTAATGATAATATTCACTGTAGTGGTGTTGCCCATCTGAGTACGTAGGTAATTTTGAAAATCTGAAATAAGAAGTGATTTGTGCTTGGTTAGTACATATAGGAATAAAAAAATACGTTATTTTCATATTTTCATGCAGAATACCTTATTTTAAGTACCTTGTTGGGTACAGATGCTTATGTGTTATTGAACTACAGCAGATCACAATGCAAATACAACTGAAGAATTGTTATCCACATGACTTGCAATAGGCTTTACTATTAACAATGGCATAAAACCTGAAATTACATTAAGACTTAAAATTCAAATTGAACTCCACAATTGAAATGGTTGGCATGCCAATTTCCCCTCAGAAAACTAAATGAATTAGAGGGAAAAAAACCATTAGAATCAGCTTTATCCAACTCTGTTTTAGAACAGGCTCATCACACATTTTCCCCAAAATTAATGCAGTTCACTTACCATTGTTATGCCCTTCACATAGCAGCTGTAAAAACCTAAACAGATCTCGAGTAAATTCATCCTGCTGCAACACTTTTTCACCTTTAAAATATACAAATACAATGATTATGTGACAACTATTATGATTAAATACACAGAACACATAATATTACAACAACCTTTAAAACTGGAATTCTAATAAAAAATAGTATTATAAAAGCGTTAAAGCAATTTAAAAGAAACGGACTGATAATAATGAAAAGAAAAACTGGGACAGAAAAAGCAAAGCCAAAATATTTAGCACTCCAATGCATCCAAGGTTAAAAAAAACCAACAACAACAAAAAGGAAAGCAACAGGATATATCTCTAATAAGTAAATGGTTAGTTATAGCTAAAATCATGCCTTAAATATGAATGACAATTCTTTAATAAGCATCAAACTGTTTATCCAAGCTGAACACACAACCTGCTGCAGACCATAAAGCTAAACCTAAAGATATCTGGGAAGATGCAATGAAAGATTTCTCTCTGTATTTGCAACACATTTTTGCAACAATAGTATCGAAAACTGTAAACCCAAACATACCACGCTCACGAACGATGACTGTGGATCAAAGAAAAATAACAAGAATACAGGATAAGAATATTGGAAGTTACAACGCTTTTCTTAAAAAAAATTGCTAAAGATTTTGTAATTATAAAGCATATTCAGAATTCAAAGCCTAGAATTACTTATAGTAATTTTATCAACAGAAACCTCAAGCCACAGTAAGTAACAGTTCTTATTAAAGAAGGAAACACAAGTAATGTTTTAAGCACTACAGGAATCAATTTCTTTCTACTTACGAGTTCCTTCTTCAGTAACCATTCCCAGGCCTTCTGCTTTATTTTGTCTCTCAAACGCATTCAAGTCAAGAACGCTTATATGGAAGAAAAAAAAAAACCAACAGGAAAAAGTACTATAGCACACAATAGAAAATTATTTTCTAGGAAATATCTGGAGGCCTTCAACTACAAGTCTTGACCCACTGCGACATGCATTGCCTCATGTTGTATTTAATATGAATATTAGATAAAAGAGCTTGGGTCCTGTGTCCATTTCTGAAAAGAAATGGGTCTCAGGTCAAGTCTCACCAGTTACCTAACTTCTCTTCCAGTAACATCATTCATGGTTTCATGCATAAATGAAGAATGGAAATGGAACATGAAATACTACTCTTTATGTTGACTTAAATCTTCCTGCCAAAAGGACCTTACTGCAGTTATTTCTCAGTCACACTGTTTTCCACTAAGTTATCACTATTCTTTCTATTATTTTTCTATATATATATATTTCTACTTCAATTATATTTCTACTGTCTATATTATGCATTATTACATTATTCAGAAGACATATGGAATCTCTGATTCCATATTCAGAAGACATACATTGAATCAGAGATTCCATATCTTCCTGAATCAGAGATTCCGTATCTTCCAAGGTCAAAATACACTGGTAGCTGAATTTTCTTTTGCTAACTTGGCATAGCCCAGCACGTGGAATAGCAGATGAGGAGTCTTCTCACCACCCAGTTAGAATACTAAAATTTAAAAATTTTACTAAAATTTTACTAAAATTTAAAGAGTCCAAATAAATTAATAAATAAAATTTAAAGAGTCCAAATAAAATTCTATCATTATCTAATTTTTTTCAAGTTAAACAGCAATGTAGTCACATATTCTACTATCTAGTGACATCATTAAAACTAAAAGCATTTTTAACAGCATCATTTTCTTGTCAGTGTTCAAGCCGTTTTATCAAAACCTTTGTTAATGAAGTCCTAAATGATACACATACACAATTGGTAATAACCATCACTGCAGTTCCTGTTTGAGGAAGACCTTGCTAAACTGTTCTGCATAAATGGAAACGTTTGAAGATAGCTGTTATTTAATTAGGCTACAACTG